GCTCCCCGCGGGGACAGCGGGGCATCCCGGCAGCGGCCGGGACGGGCAGGGAGCCTCGCAGCTACTTGTGCTGCACCTGGGGGGGTTAATGGGCGCAATTAAATATTAACGTTGTGCTAATAAAAGTTGAATTTTCAAACGCCTGGGAAGCTGTAAATAGGAAATATTGTTGCGGGATTATTATTTTTTTTTTTAATAAAAGGGGAAAAAATTAATGCGGAAGCGGGGAAAGAAATAGAGCCCAAAAGTTAGCATCATCCTCTCGGTGACTTGCTGATCGCATCTTTGCGCTGACCACTATGCCTGGAGCATGTGTCACTTGGTGGAGCAAGAGCAAGCACTGCTCACCTCGCAGGGCTCCACGGGGTCCCATCGTGGTTAAAGTCAGCCTTTATTTGCGCCCTTTTTTATATATAAAAGGTTTTTGCACTTTTATGGGGCGAGTAATCTGTCCTACCTTCCTACCTGAGCAGCAGCTGCTAACATGCGAGCTCCAGCTCCTGAAGGGATAAGTCACAGCCTGGCACTGTGCACACCCAGTGTGGTAGCCAACTAAAACAAATATTTTATATTAGTTCATATATAAGGCTTAATAGGTAGAAGTATGTATATTTAATAGGCTGCCTCCAGTCTTTTGGACATGATGTAAATATATATTAATGTAAAATTTAAATCCAGTGACTGGTTTCTCTTGGCTTGTCTGCAACCCAAGTGTCAAGGAAGAATAATTTAAGTCTCTGTATTGGGAATGGTAAGAGGTGTCTGGGGGAAGAAAGGCCTGTGTTACTGATGGGACATAATGTCAGGAGAAGGTGGTGTGTATATATAAATATGTGCACACCATATATGTATATATATATAGGTGTATGCATTCATCCATATGTCATTCACTTGTTATTTTTTCCCCCTCTTCTCTGCAGAGTCAAGATGGCTAAAGGTGATCCGAAGAAGCCTAAGGGCAAGATGTCTGCCTATGCCTTCTTTGTGCAGACATGCCGTGAGGAACATAAGAAAAAGAACCCAGAGGTTCCAGTCAACTTTGCAGAGTTTTCCAAGAAGTGCTCAGAGAGGTGGAAGGTACCTTAATTTGTGGCTTCCTCAAGGGATAACTTCTTAGAGTATCTGCTAGGATGACGTGTGTGTGTCTGAACACCAAGGGAGCTGGTGCTGTTTTGGTCTGTGAGCCGTTCTTGGCAAGCTGTCCTGGCCATTGATTGCGTGTTGCTGATGCCTGTAGCACTTGTGAAGGTTTCAGCCTGGTATATCTGCTCACTTAGGTGCTTCCACTACAGTCTGGCCTTTTTTCCTCTTCCCAAGCAATGCCCTTTAGCAGTTACCACCTTCTAGACATGTGTCCCGAAGAAGACTCTGGCTGTTCTTGTTCCATTCCCTTTGCTTCCCTCTTACTAAGTATTCTAGTAGTGTCTGTGATTCCTGGTACAGGACCTTCGTCCCCAAGGTGGTCCAGTTAGAAAACAAACAGATTCTGAAACTCCCGTATTGAGTTGGTATGTGTTGGCTTGTTTACATAAAGTTTGCCAGCTATTGAACAGTTGGGTAATCACAGGTTTGGTGTCTTGTTTTTGGGGGTTTTTTTTAGACCATGTCAAGCAAGGAAAAGGCTAAATTTGATGAAATGGCAAAGGCTGATAAGGTACGATATGATAGAGAAATGAAGGACTATGGACCAGCTAAGGGTGGCAAGAAGAAGAAGGACCCCAATGCCCCAAAGCGACCACCGTAAGTAACTTTGAGGCTCTAAATGCACAAGTATTTTCGTTCATTTTCACAGTCTGTGTGTAACACAGGTTTCCACGAAGGAAGTAGATGGGGTCATAGTGTTGGTGTAGCAGGATTGGTAGGGATACTGTCCTGTAGACCTTTTAGGCAGCCTGTAATCTTGAGCATGCAGAGCACTAAGAGTAGTTGTCAATACTTGATACTGTCAAACTCATAGTTATGGAAGACATGGAAGTGACTGTAACATAATGAACCTTGTGTATCTAAGATGAAATTGGGTGGGGGGATACACAACACTTAATTAAAAAGAGCATTGAGTGAAGGCTGCAGATCTGGGCCTCAGTAAAATTGAAACATGTTTGGGTTTGTGTTTCATTTTATAAATAAAAATAAAGTTTCTACTGAGTGTGTGAGTGCACGTTTGAGTGTTGTGGATCAGGGATGGAGGAAGGGAGTGTTCCCCGGGCATGCTGCTGCAATGCTGACTGTCCTCTCGTGTTTCTCCCCAAGGTCTGGCTTCTTCCTCTTCTGTTCAGAGTTCCGCCCCAAGATCAAGTCCTCAAACCCTGGCATATCCATTGGGGATGTAGCGAAGAAACTGGGTGAAATGTGGAACAACCTCAGTGATGCGGAAAAGCAGCCTTATAATAATAAGGCAGCTAAACTGAAGGAGAAGTACGAGAAGGTAAGTCTAGGTGTCACTTGTGCCTCCTCTGTACCGGCTCTTGCATTGATGTGTTTCTGTAATGTAGACCCAGCTCGGGTGGCCCCAGCACAGTGAGCACCTCCAGCTTACAACCCTGTTCTCATCGTGCTGTGCAGCCAAGCTTTGCGTAGGTTGGGGCAGAGCAGGATAGAGAGCCACAGGCGGATTCTAGCGAGGAGGGAGAGCTTTGCCCAGTGATGCACAGTGTTGCTCCAGCAAAGGGTTTGCTGTGCTCTTACAGGAACTTTGTCCCATTATCAGGAAACTTTTAAGAGAGGCTGGGTTCTCATCTCCTCTTCAAAGAAATAACCATAAAACGCAGGGTTCCCAGCCTCCATCATCCGTGGGCAGTTGAGCACCCTGAGGTGTCAGCGCACCTGTGTACTCCAGTGCTGGCTGTCTCCCCTCTGGGGGTGCAGCTCTGGAAGGCCAGTCCCTTTTATATAAACACCTGCTGCTGTACAAATGCTCTGTATGTTTGCTGCTTAGAGCAAATTAAGACATCCCCTTGACTTTGCAGGATGTTGCAGACTACAAGTCTAAAGGAAAGTTTGATGGCGCAAAGGGAGCAGCAACCAAAGCTGCTCGGAAAAAGGTAGAGGAAGAAGATGAAGAGGAGGAGGAGGATGAAGAAGAGGAGGATGAAGATGATGATGATGAATAAAACTGTACAATACTTGTCTCCATGTGAATACCATAGAGTAGGGGAAACACCATAAATGAAGCACCTCTTATTCGAGATGGTGTCTCTTGCCCGTATTAGGCTTAATTAAAAAAAAAATTTGGATTCCGATCGCGTTGTAGTTTCTAAAAGTGCTCTAGAAATTGTAACTGGTTTACATGAAGTGGCCATGGGTGTAGTGAGCACCCTGAAACTGTATCAAAGTTGTACATATTTCCAAACGTTTTTAAAATGAAAAGGCGCTCTAGTGTTCTCCTAACTCTGTGCACTTTGCTGTTGGTGTAACAAAGCATTTAAAAATGTTTCAAGCATTTTTTTAATTTGTAAGGTGGTGTTACTATATGGTTATTGGCTAGAAAATCCTGGGTTATAAACTGTACATATCTATAGTTTGTAAAAACTAGACAGATTCTTGTGGTACATGCTTAGAGTTATGATGCCTTAGAGGAGCAGTGATTACTTGGAAAGGCTGTACGTTCCCCGGGGTGCCATGGCCCAAAGCATGCACTGTGAGGGTAGATCTATTTACACTACAGTGGGCGTCCATTTAGCTTAAAGTTGTCTTTCTGTATATAGTGAAATAGCATTCTGCTGCCATTCTTAGTTGTGGAAGGGGGTTCAGCTGGCATGAGAAGTGTATGGATTTTTTTAGTTAAGTGCGGTAGTTTTTAAACTGAAACTGTAGACACCTCTTCATCGTCAACTAAGTGAAGAGCCAGTGCAGCAACTGAAGTTCAAAAACACTCTGTACTTAAACGAATTTGCAACGTTCTGTTTTTTTTGTATGTTTAGAATGCTGAAATGTTTTTGAAGCAAAATAAACAGTATTACATTTTTAAAACTGTTCTTGACAACATTTTAAATTTCTGGTTTTAAAAAAGGATCTTAACAACAGCAAGAGGTTCATTTTGAAGTCTGTGGCATCCCTCAGGGCTGGTGACATAGGAAACATTCTGACTCAAGGATTAAAAAAAAAAAAAAAATTAATAAAAAAATGGTGGCCAGCCAAAACTGGCTGAATTGAAAGAGATGGCTGCTCCAGCTAATATGCAATCGTAACTGTTTATGGCTGAGTGGCATAAGATGCTATGCAAGTTTGAACTTTATTACTTGAACTTGGGAGCCTAAATGAACATTCATGACGTAATTGTTTGTTTGTGTGTGTATATAGCAGCATTCAGAGATGCAGTGAAAGGTAGGTGGCTAGGAATGAGGCTGACACCATGGAATAAGTATAAAAGCATAGTTTGGATTTTTTTTCAGTTGTGTTGGGTAAATTTATAGCCCAAATGCATTGCTGTACATATTAAAATGTGCCTTTTTTGTCCTGTGTTAAACTGTTTCAGACTTGTGGTTTTTTCTAGCCTCTTGATTCGTGGCAGGAGCCAGGCGCCTACCCTAACTCCCTGCTGAAGTAGGAGCGTGGCGCAGGTACTTAGTCTGTGTCCTTTCTCGAACAACGCAAGTTTTAGCAGGAATTGGGTGCTGTGAGGTGGGTTGGGGCAGCTTGGCATGTCTTCCCCCCTTTGTTGACCAACTGGCTGTGTTGAAGTCTTGCCTTCTTTCCAAATCCGAGCTGAGGATGTTTTGCAGCCCTTGAAAGCAAAAGGTAACGCCTGGTCTCTAACTGGTGACTCTAATCTCATTTTTCCTTAGCACGGAAATGGCACCAACTGGGAAAACTACAGCACTCCCTCTCTACCCCTGAATTTCTCCCTTGTGCTGGCTGTAGCTAGTAGTTGGTGTTTGCTTGGCAGAGAGGAGGAGATGGGGTGTGCCAGGGTACTCGGATAAATAGCAGGTCAAAGCTGTGGGCTGCTGTGTTCAGCTGATTTAGGAGTCCAGGGTAACTCAGGGGTGTAAATGGTGGGTATGGGCTGCTGCCACTGCTGCTTTGGAGCCAAGCTGTAGATTAATGAGGGCCAGGCTTACAGGCAGTAACTACTTAGAATGTGGTTAAAACTTCTTTGTTGCCTAATTGGGTAGCACATCTGGCTTCCTCTGACTTCTCAGCAACCCTACCATAACTTAACAACAACAGCTTGGCAAAAGTCTGATCTAGTGTTGAGATGAACTGAAACCTGAAAGCGAAACTTTCAGGATGGAGCAAGCTAATAAACTTTCATGAAACATAGCAACATGTAGCAACTTTTATTTTTAAGGCAAAGTTACAGTTTGATCACTTAGAAATACTTTTATAGTTGCTTAATTATGCTAATTTTTAGTGTCTTTAATGCACAAAAAAAACCCAAGTGTGAAATTTGCCCCTATTTTATGGGCAGTTGCATTTTAAAAGCCTCAATAAAGCTGCATCTGGAAAAGAAATAGGTACTTTTGTATTTGCTACCCTTTCTGCATGTCTTCTGATGCAAGGGAGAAGGCAACTGGAGATTCCAGCACGTGGAAATTTGATGGGGAAGTGGTGGAGTAGAATAAAAAAGTGATGGCATCAGTTCAGGAGCTCTAATACTGTTTCTATTGTCTAGTTGGCAAAATCTCCCCTTAGCCACATATGGGAATTAGTGTAGATCACTGCTGTGCAAATCGAGCTTGGCTTTGAATTAACTGCTAGTGAGCTGAGCCCCTATTGATAGTATTAGCAAATGAGGACTAGAGCTGACACCTCTTTGTCTTTGTTATATTGGAAATCTATTGAGTTGCAGAGCTTGATTAAGGTCTTGGACCTTACAGTACACTGCCTATTGCTGCTCTGCACACACGTAAAATAAGGCATGCCTCGGGAATGCTGTTCAATACAGCGCTAGTGCAGGACTCCAGGGACTCAAGTTTGGGTATTGCAGATGTGATGTTTCTTTCCCCAATACTCTGCTGTTGATAAATACCACAGTGTGGATTTATATAAATAACACAGTTCCACCCCCCCCACTGTTCTCTATTCTGAGATGTCATCTCAAATATTGGGAACTGCTTAATTTTACCCAGCTCCGGTTTTTTTTGATAGAACACCCTCCAAATGCTCTTCCTCTGCTTTGAAATGGTTGTGATGTTTCAGAGCAGACAGTTCTGCTTTGAGCTGCTGCACAGCTCACACTTCTAGTTTGACTTTAGTCCCAAGCCAAGCAGAGTAAATATGTCTCTTATTAACTCCACAATATGTAGAGATGGGTAATAATAAAATAGATTTGGGCAAAGGGAGGGGAGGGATGAAAAGAGACTCTTCCTTGCTTGACTTTGACAGAGCTAGCTTGAGAGTGCCAGCGTTTCCAAAATGTGATGTGTTGCATCCCCCTGTGCCTGCTGAAGTTGGGCTGAGGTGGGGACTGTGGGGGACTAAGGGGCTTGGTTAAGAAAAAGGGAGTGTCCTGGTTCTGCAGCTGTTAAAACCCCGCTCCCTGCTCTGGGGAGGCAGAGGGTGGCTTGGCTGGGCGGGATGGTCCCTCCGGATGCCTAAACCAGTGGCAGAGGTGTGAGAGGTCTTGCTCAAGAGAAAGTGTCTGAGGGTGTTGTGGGGCAGAGACAGCACTGACCCGTGTCATGCAGGTCATTTCCCATGGTTGGTGCTGTTTGATTTGCACTCAGGCCCGTGTGTACTTTTGAGAACACAGTTGCTACCAAAATGCACCACGTCCCTCTGAAATCAAACCAGCTGGGGAGTGAGAGGATGAAGAGGGCTGCTGAGCTGTGCTGTGCAGGGCAGAGCCTGCCTCTGCTGAAAATGAGCCCCGGAGTCCTAGCACTACTCAGGGAGGCAGAGGATACGGCTTGGTACCCTGTGTATTCCAAAATTCAGTTGAGACATGGTAAATGTCTGGTATGAGCCAAATGTGAGCACTTAGACTGGGGGGGGGGCTGAATTGGGGGAGTCCCCCTGAGGGTCTGGGGGTCACTCTCCACAAGCAGGCACAAGGAAAGCCACGTTGCAGGATGGTTTCCTACTGCTGTGTCGGTACCCTAACGCATCTGTGGGGAAGCAGTGCATTAATTTTTCTATAATAAAAATTAATTAAAAATCCTACTCCAAATGCATATTGAATCAATTAGCAGTGAACGTCTGCAGCTCTAATGGAGGTCCATAGGAAGGTGAGAGTCTGCTTTGGGGATAGGGCTGGGGATACAGGCAGAGTGAAAACCTCTCTCTTATCTGCTCCCTTTGAACAGCTGATTTTTAGGTAGTTTTATTCACTCCTAATAAACCCTGCAGGAACAGCAGTGAGGTGCAAGGGCTTCTGTTGGCTCTGGGTCAGGCGGTGGCAGGTGAATGGCTTTTCACTTCCAGCCTCCAGCACAATTCTGGCAGCTGCCTCAAGTTTGTTTTCCCTCTGCTCACTCAAGCTGTTGCTTCCCAGGCAGAGGAACATCCCCTAAGTAAGCCCTCTTCTGCTGCAGGTTTTGGGAAGCTTGGATGAGGAGGAGCAGCTGAGATGGGAAGTCCCCACTGGGGTGAGAGCAGGAAGCTGCATTTCTGGCCAAGCTTCCTGATGAGCCCCACACTCCCCTCTCTGAATATTCACCCGAGCTGGCTTTCCTCTAAAGGATAACGGGAGGAACTGTGACAAGTGGCATATTTATTTCTTTCTACTAGGGCTGCACCACATTTTAATGCAATAAACTGAATTGCAAATCACAGCAGCACTGCAAACACAGTGTGCTGGAGACCCTGTTAGGAAGCTGTTGCTCTTTAAATGTGTGTCAGCTTGCAGTGGGGAAGGGAGCAAATAACCAGCATGCCTGAGGGGAGGGTTCATCCCCTATGAGGTATCTTTGTCCCTTTCTGGCAGGCTGGGCTCCAGTGGGAGTGTGATGTGTGCTTGCCGTGCTTGGGCAGCATTTGGCAAAGCACTTTGCAAACATCTCATCCTTCCAATAGGTCTGATCTGTACGTGGTAAAGCAGTATGTGGATGAGGGGGAGTGTTCCTTGGCTGTGCTAACAGTCTTGATTGGAGTTGTCTGCTGCTAAGAGCTCTTCCCTGAGCACCCTCCTGCACCTGGATCCCTAAATTAGGCAGGAGGAAGCAGCACAGCCCTGGTGGAGCTGACAGCAATGTATTCTGAGTGGTGAGTACCTCCTTCTCTTGTTCCTGGATGTGGCATGTCCTCACAGAAACATTGTGAAGTGGCTAAACCAGGGCTAGTCTTTTATGGAGCAGGGATGGTAGGTGACCCTTCCAGAAGTGGAGAGCCTGAATGTTGAGCAGCAAGCTGGTGCTGTGGTGGAGCTAAGACCTTTGGAGGCTGGGATGGATAAAAGCAAATCTTTGTCTTGTTGAGATGAAAATGCATTAACTGTGGTAAAGGGATGTCTGTCCTGTGTGCCCTGACACGGTTGACATTTTGTCCCTGGCTGAATCCAGCAGCCAGGAAAACCACAGCTGGGAACCAAGCCTTGCTGTGGGGCTGGGCGTTCTGATGGTATTTGTGGTTGACTTTTGAGCCCATGAGTTGCTTTTTCTTCCCAGCCCGTCCCCTTTGCAAAGCCCCTTCAGGTATTTCAAGTCAGAAAAATGCTCTTTTTTAAAATATTAATCAAACGTGGCCTGGCTTTGTTGTTGTAAGAGCTTATTGCTTGTAAGTGTTTTTAACTGCTGCTTTGTGAAGCTTAAAATTTGCCTTATTTAGTTTAGAAAATTAATACCCGTAGCAGGATGAAGTGGTTTGAGGGATTGCTTGAGACAAATGCCTCTTGTCTGCTGCTAATGACTGTGTGATTGCTCTTTTACTGTATGTTACCTGGGATGTACCAGCAGTAATTAATGGTCCTGCAAAAGAGACTTGAGAAAAGTGTAAGCGGGGACAATTTGGTCTCCAGTTTTCTTACAAAATGTGTTGGTGGAGTTTTGTTTGCTTTAGCTTTGTAGCTCAGACTGGGGTTCTTCCCTGGACTTGCCTTCTGCAGTTATTTAAGGTAGCTGCTACCTGCAGCTGCTAGCCAAGGTTCCTCCCCAGTAGCAGGGAGAGCAGAAGGAAACTTGCTGGGTTTTCTGTGGCTTTATTTCATTGCTTCATATAGTAACTTAGTTTTTGTAAACTGCTGGGAAGTTTTTCAAAGCAAGCTCAAAGATCAAGGTGTTGTGTTAAAAGTCTTAGAAGAGAACCCTTTCTTTGAAGGGTTTGTCTGAAAGTAGACTAAAACGTGACCAAATAGAATCATTGAATGGTTTGGGTTGGAAGGGACTTTAAAGATCATCTCATTCCAACCCCCCACCATGGGCAGGGACACCTTCCACTAAACCTGGTTTCATAGACCTCCTGGCTTTTAAAGATCCTATTCTTCACCTGTTTAATTTCCTTCTCACCTCCCATTCCCTGCCCAGCTCTCCCTCAGTCCAGTGCAGCAGCCGTGCTCAGCACATCCAACCCAGTGGCTTATTTGAGGTG